GTGCCGTGTAATGATGCGTTGCCTGGCTACCTGATTGGTCAGGAAACTGGCCAATGCGCCATTATACGGCATCCGGCTTCCTGATTGGCTGGGAAGTCGGCTCCATGCTCCCTTGTCAGCATGGAGCCGGCTAATCAGGAACCCGGCAGCGTGTAATGAGTCGCTGCCTGGCTTCCTGATACTGGAAGTATCAGGCTAGGCATTGGAGCATTTGGGCGAGTACGAGTACTCACCCAAATACTCGGTATCGGCATTGATACCGATACTAGTATCGGTGCATCCCTAGTTTAAATCCAATCATAATTGGCTGGTTAGGATGGTCAATTCATGTGGTGGCAGAAAACTCTGCAAGTGATAGCAGGCACCCCTAGATGCTTCCACGTAGTGTAGGCATTCCTTTATTTTGTTTGATAGGCAAATATTGATTAAAATGTTTGAGCTTGACCTGCGCCCTCTTGCCTTCTGGTTGGTCCTATTGTTTAGCATCACTGACCAAGAGCACGACAATCCAGAGTGCTCTAGTGTGCAAATCACTACTTCCTTAACTGAGACTCTGACACTGGAACCCTACCTCCTGATTAACCTCGTAATGTTCTGGGTGGCCTCACTGACCAGGTGCAGAGAAGGCAAAACATTGGACCAAACATTAACTTACTAGTGGAAGAACACATTTGCATACTGCATTAGCGGGTCACAACTTTGGAGGCTCCCAGGGTGCTTTTGAGGATTGCCACTTTATTTAGGAACCTGTAGGGTGCCTACTGTTGCATGCAAGTGGTAGATTAAGTTGTTGTTTTTTTCTTTTTACTATTTCAGGTTTGCTTAAAGTGACATCTTTGTGCATTCTTTAATATATAATAAAATATTAACATCATGTTATTGTACTTTTAAAATGAGTAATACAAGTAATGAAGGAAGCTGATAAATAAGAGATAAGACTTCTGAAATGAGTGTCCTTATCTCAGTCCAGTTATGTGCTTTTTAGGGTTATCAGTTGTTTAATTAGCAAAAAGGCAAACATTATGGACCACTTGCCAAGGATCACACCCAACACATTCCCAAGTATTTAACAATAAACAAAGCTGAGTAAAGTAAGATCACACAAACCGATTGGAAAATGACTCCTCTGCCCTTCATTATGTGCATAGACATTGAGTGAGCAGAATGGCAAAAGCAAAGGCCATATAGAACCATTTCTATGACCAGTATACTTTTCAACCACAATGCAAAAATTGTGAATAAATCGGCATCGAACATTTAGATCTTTAAGAATTTAATATGTGTATGGCCATGTCCAGTAATAAACTGGAAAACATTATCCAGAGACTGAGTTGTCTAAGGTATAGGTATACATCTTGGGTCTCCAACAGCAACATCATCCTTTCATAATTGCCTCTGATCCTGTCCACTTAGGAGAGTGTTCCTTCTCCGCTTTATTTATTTCAGGACCTCCATTATAAAAAAATTGCCCAAAATTGTTTTAAAATATGTGAGACCTGAGAACATAAGTGCAAAGATCTTGCCAATAGGAAACTATCAAGCAGTTTAAGTCTTTAGCATCTATCAAAAACTGAAACCGCTTTTTAAAATCAGTCAATGATTGTGTCGGGTCTATTTATAGAATTAAGTCTGAACTTAAATTTCAGTTTTCTTTAGAAAGCAACATCCTGAGTAACAAAGCCTGTCCCCTGCCTGCATGTTGTAGAGAAGGACCAGTTCTCTCTGTGTAGTAGCAGTGGTCTCTCTGCAGAGGTCTGGCACATCCCTTGCTGAGTCGGAGTTAGAGAGACCACTAATTCCACATACGAGCAAAGGTCCTCACTGTTCTGCTGGCAGGGAGCAGCTTTTTCTTCTCAGGTTCTGGCTGCTTGTATGAAAAAATAAAAATTTGACTTTGCACAACATTTGTTTTTTTAATGCTCTTAGGATTTAGCTGATTTAAGCTAAATGTTTAATTTGGCTTTAATATTATCCAGAAGATTTGGCTGAAATCACCCACTTTGTAGTGAACACTTCAGTGTATTCACTGTAATTTGATTGATTTTTGCAGCTCTTCAGTCTCAAAACCTGTTCAGTGTATTATAGAGACCAGTTTACTATGTTGCCTATGTCCAGATCTTTATTCAAAATGTACATTTGTTACAGACTTGCTTCTTTCAGTAAAGTAGTGCCTTTATGGCTTCCACTGTTTGTTTGTTTTTTGTCGTTTTTTTATTCATTTTCATTTGACTAATAAAAAACATGTTGCACACCAGATGTAAAACCAATTAGCTAACAATTATCAGCACATCCCCTTACTAATCGCCATGTAAAATGTGAAGAGCTAGTCTGAAGGGTTCTCTGAGACAAACCCCTGGGAGACTTCCATGCAGCCCCCACCGACTCCATCCGTAGGGAAGGAGCCTTTCAGCTTGTGCTCAGCTTACTGTGTAAACTGATTCCGTGTTGGCAGCCTGGTGGCTGGGATTACTAGGTGTGCCACATTTTAACACTTGTCTAATTCTGCATTCAGGAAAGGGCTTGCGATATTTAAGCCTCTGTGCAGCAAAGGTTGGACCACACAGAAAATGTTTATCAGGAAGTAGGACGTGCAGACGAAAACAAGCATAGAGGAAAACTTTGACTGCAAATGCACGTCTGTAAGGATCAGTTTTTTTAAGTGTTGATTTTTCACTGCTACGTGCTTGCCTTGAGCTACTGAAGCACCTCCTTCTATGGTTTGCTGCTTATTTCCTTGTAATGCTGGAAAAAGCGGGAGGTCAATTCACTGAGGTGTGAGAATTAGTGTAACTGCAATCATTATTTAAAGTGACCCAAAGAGAAGTAAAGCTGGCCTGTAAAAGAAGGCAATTTATACTTGCCTTTCTGGTGGCCCGAACTTTAAACTCCCCCATATTACAGCTCTCTAGCTGCTGTGGGTATCTAACACTTCCAGGAGTGTAAAATATCTGTTTCCCTGCTATGCAGTGTGGTTGCCCCCACAGTCTCTTACCTCCTACAGGGACAGTGGAAGGCTCAAAGGAGCCTTTTGACTAGTCTCAACCTCCCCTTCACCGTATTCCCTCTACAGTCCTCTTGCTGAATTTATCCACAGATTGCCAGAGTTGGCTAGATGACAAACATAAATAGGAGAACGTTACCACAATTTGTACATTTTGAGGTTTGGTTCTTCCCCTTAACCTGTTGCCTTAGACGCACTGGTCAATGAGTCCCATCATAGAAAATGCAGCTGTCTACAGCATAGCTAGAATGTTGGTTTTACCACAAGTTACAAGCATCATAATTGATTTTCATTTATACCATTGTTTGGAAATAGGCAATGCAATTTTTTTATTTTTAGTTGGTTTTATGGGAAAGGTGAGTATAGTCAGTTCAAGATAGATTAAAGGTGGCCATATACCCAATTATTTTGTGTTGCTGTTGTTCGGTCTCCATAACACACTGAACTGCATGGCTGGAGGAGTCGGCACTAAACATCATGGCTGGAGGAATCTCAGCTAAACAACGTGGGTGGAGGAATAGCTAAACAGTGTGGATGGAGGAATCTTCACTAAACAGCGTGCATGGACGTATCCCCCCTGCTGGGCTATTGTATTCGGAAATCCAGAACTCTCCACTGTCAGAATACCAAACAGTGGCTGCAGTTAGTGTTCGGTCAGCAATATTACACCTGGCTACTTCGAAATAAGCCAATCAACTTCTCTTAAACCGTGTGGTGCTGGCAGGACCAGACAGCTCGAATTTTTGAGCACTGTATCACCAGCTTAAGAGCTCTTTAGGAACCCTACCATTTTAAATCACATCAACTATCACCTAAACATGACCACAGATAGGCAGAGGCTGTGTCAAGCTACATGGGCCAACCATGAAAAATGAATGCAAAAACAAATATTGGTTAAGCCAACGTGTTTTTTTTCCCCATTGCATTTCTTTAATATTTGCTTTTCAAAATAACAAATGCAATGATTTTGGGGTTAAAGGAAAGATTTAGTGTATTATACCAATTTTGCTATAAATTGTGCATTTTTTTATAGAGTTCTAGCTAGACACAAGACCAGAAAAGGGGCTGACCATGGAGACAGTGGGATTTGGTTCCAAAAGAGGGACATTCTCGTCTATTGAGTTCCAGCTGATGGCTACTGTGCCCATCTTCAGTCAAACCTCCAGTACCCACTGCAGTCCTTTCACCGACTTAGCCACTTGCAGATTGGTCACTCTGAAACCACTTGTTATGGCTCAGTGGTTTACTCCTAGTTCCAAGCCACACTTGTAACGTGCTATAGCTTATTTCTTTTAGGCTGTGCATGGGTGCCCTTAGACTTGATTCTCTATTGCAGGGGTAGGCAACTTAGGCACTCCCGACTGTGGTTAAACTACAAGTCTCTTAAGGTGTTGCAAGACTGTAACAGGCAGAGGCATGATATGGGATTTGTAGTTTTACAGCTAGTGTGCTAAGGTTCCCTACCCCAGTGATTTTGTTTTAATAAGCAGGAAACCGGCTCATAAAACATACACTAAAATAGGTCAGAATGATCACAATTATATTTCATGGCATCCTTCAATGTCAGGTTTTGAAAAAACGGCCTGTTTGCTGGCGCAATAAAGTCAGTAGCTTTCACGGCATATTTATAATAATGAGATGTGCTCAGTGCATTGATTAAACTGGGTCACCGTGTTTTATAAAGAATCGGCTTTGGCAGGATTGCAAGATAAAAAGAAAAAGTCTAGTCTGAGTCATTGTCTGATTCCCAAATTGTCCTTATTGTGCCTTTTCCAAGACTAATTTACAGCAAAATGTTTTTTACTGTTGTGGCCTAACAAGTTGCGTATTTATTCACATTCAATTAGCGTTGTGACCAAAGATATTTTTTGTGTGGCATTCTTATTCTCCGTGATGTTGGGCTCATTATTAGAATATTTTTAATACATTTCTCACTTTATCTCCCTTTTTTATTTTTTTACCCCCGGAGTCTCAATTATTATTACAATTTTTCTTCCAGGCGACTGGCTGGTAATGACCTCTCTTTCATCCATCCCATGGCCTTGTCTGGCCTGAGAGAACTCAAAGTTCTGTAAGTAATTGTTCAGTTTTGTTAGTAATTACATGCTTGCCCTGCTCTGTCAGCACAGCAAATCTTTCCCTTTAACCCTTCTGGACCTGCGGGGGAGGCCGATGTCATTGTGTGGTATGGCCAGCCATCCTGGTATACAGGCTTCGCCAATAGAGCTGTGCAATGAACAGTACTAGGGATGCACAGATACTTTTCTAGTACCAGTGCAGATACTTGGCATTTTCACGAACTACCAGGGTTTCAGAGGTTGCAGCTGGGACCTGGCTCTAGTGCTCCACCACTGTCCTGAAATCATTAGACTGTATTGTTTTAGAAAAACTGTCACATGACAATAAACAAAAATGTATCAGTACTCGTACTTGTAAGAACTCGGCAAGTACCAGTACTCGTACTCGCAAAACTGGTATCTGTGCATCCCTTTATTTATAAAAACAAAACCGTATATAAAAAAAGATGTACAAATCCCAGGAGCTTCGTGTGCTCTTTACAAATGACAGCTGCCTCCTAATTTTTGAATTTTTCTCTAGTGTAGTCTTGGAGCTCAAAAGTATCGGTACTTGTACCGAGTACTGTACTTGTAACCCTAAACAGTACCACTCGTCAACTGATCACACTTCTGTGTACAGAAACCACAGCTCTTGTACATGATTTCTAAAGCATGGATAAGTGTTAATTGCCTTTTGCCTTATTGAATAAGACGTTACATGTATTCATTAAGAGCAATCAGGATGTGCAATGTGTAGTAATCCATAGCAACCAGATTTTAGTATACCGCTGTCAGATCGCTCGGGAGATTAATAATTGGTTGCTATGGATAACGCTAAAATGCAATTGCTTTTGCAGTGTTTCAGATTAGTGTTTTGGGCATCAATAGTGACTATCCGTTCTTATGGTCGTATACATCTCAGTTTAACAACTTCACATTATTTTGCCATTTTCTTATGTTATTAATTTAAAGACCATTTATTGAGCAAAGTAAGGTCACTGAATTGAGCAATGAGGGGGTTAGGCAAGTGTTATCTGGGGTATCAATAATTCAGTACGGTTCAATCTTCAGCTTGTTCTGTGATTTAGTTTATGCTGTATGTTGCCCTCTTATAACTTTATGGAGTGCGTTCTGGTGCCCAGTTAGACGTGGCACATAGTGTGTGTGGACCATATACAGGGCTTGGGTTTGTGGAGGCATCTGTCCATTTATGAGGGACAATAAAAGTTTTATATAGATGATATTTGTATTTATTTTTTTTAGCATTGGACAGAATAGTTAAGGGTTAAAACCCATGTCTGTTTTTTTTGCCATCTCCGAATGCTCTAAAGTGTATGTCTGGGCAAAATCAAATTTAAACTAAAGCTTTATTAGCCCTTTTTTGGGTGATAGGAGTACATTTACTAATGACCTCCTGTGACCCAAAGTAAGCAGATAGCGTGCTACTACCTACTATATGGTGACAGTGTAAAGCCACGCTGCAGCCAGGAAAGATCTCAACAATATTATCGGGATCCATTCCACTGCCTGATAGCTGTCTCTGTCTCTCTAGAGCCAGAGCCTGCTGTGCCTGCGACCTCCCCTGTCTATTCCTCCAACGATTGGATGAACAGAGATAGGGGAGGGGGGATTCCCTGCGGGAAGTAGTGACCACCCGTCACCGCTCTCTGCAGGGAGAAGACCATGAGCCTGCTATTGGCTAGTTCAAATTGCACTATTGCGTCCACTACCTGCCATCAATCAGCAGAGGAGGGAACTAAAGGAGAAAGTTCTCCTTCAGGTCCTCCTTTGCAATTTAAAATAGCCAATAGCAGGCTGACTATTGCTCCCAGCTAATGAATGGGAGACTTGACGCCGTCTCTCTACCGCCAGCAGAAGCGGGGACATGGAGGCAGTAGCGGTGGCACAGCGGTCTCTACTCCCTGCTGGGCGCCAGCTGCAGCAACCTGTGTCCCCTTTTTTGAAGGCGACAGACAGCAGCATGCAGCGACTCCCAGTGAGCAGGAGAACGGAGGAGCAGAGCGGTGGCAGAACTCAACTAATCGGAATCTGTCAACGATTCTCTTTATCGATTAGCTATCTCCCAGGCACAGCTAGGCAACAACCATCTTTAAAGGAGGCCTGCAATGGCAGCTTTTGTACTTCATGACTGGGTCACTTTAATTTGGTTCTGTATTCTATGGAAATTCTTTATTGAGGGTCTGCCCCTAATGTCTCTCATTAATGAATATTACATATAATGAATATCTAGATAACTAAAAAATGTGGGTTACCCCACCTCGCTACTCTTATGCATTACTTCAAATCCTTTTTAGATACTGTACACTATATATATCTGTTAGATGTTTAGAAATCTGGATACAGGTAGATATAGACATGTCTGTATTCTAACTATGTGTTTTATATTATGTAGGACTCTTCAAAATAACCAGCTGAAAACTGTCCCCAGTGAAGCTTTGAAAGTCCTGAGTTCTTTACAGTCTTTGTAAGTGTAACTATTCTTGTTCCTCGCCCTATTTGATACATGAGCCGTGTGTCTGTGTGTGTGTCTGTATATGTATGTATGTAGCAGCAGAACACCGATACACACACTCTCTCTGATGTAGATAATCTAGTATTATAAATTTGGTTTTTGAATATATCCAGTGCTGCAGTTTCCTTGAACTATGGGGTTGAGTTAATAAAGACAAATAGGCTGTTCACTTTGCAAGGTAATTAGCACTTTGCTAAGTGAATTTTGTGAAAATTCACTGTGCAAAGAATTCTGATGTGCAAGGAAAATTGACCCCAATGGAGTCTGAATTTCTGAATAGCATTCGGGAGCTCCAGAATGCCTCAGTATATGTATATGGCTCCCAGACCCATATTGCTTTCTCTAGCTCCCGAATGGTATTCGGAAATTCAGACTCCCTAATGCCATTCAGGTCTAGGAGCTTCAGCTTTAGTATTAATATCTGTATAACGTTTTCTGTGGTAGTTGCAACGAATATTCATTCGTAAACTCATCTGAAACTAACAAAAATTTGGATTTCGGCCGAATCCGAAACCCGAACTGAATTGAATTTCGGACCCGAATCCCAAAATAACGAAAAAACTGAATCAAATTTTTCTGTAGCTTACATGTCTACTGCTTAGGTTGCCTTGTGGAGGTTCTGGCACTGGTATATACACACACCTTTGGTAGGCATTTAGGGCTTTCAAATAAGGAAGCCTTAAAGCAACGTGAAGATACTCAAAGCAATCTATCAAATACATCTGTATAGAACTGTCGGACAAATTAAATATGGTTTCTGTTTCCTCACTGTATTTTGCATAGTGTGTTTTTGTCCTATTTATTAAAGTCTTCAATATTGTATGGAACCAAAGTACATAGTTTATTACAAACAGTACAGGGTTCTTGATTTAGGCTGCTATGAATAAATAAATGTTATGACTGCAGTGGCCGTCTGCCATTTCCATTTTAGTGTGTCTCTGAACACTATAATTTAATCTATGTAATGTTCTATTTTGGTATCCCAAAAGTTATTGCCACACCGAGTCTTGAAATAACTGCAGTATGTGTCTTACATTTAACATCAGCACTTTTGTAAGATCTGTTTGTGGCATTTAGAAGGTGCACAGGGGTTTTAATGGGGCTGGAGAGTGTATAGAACATAAAAGAAAGCTATGAAAAATCCAAAATACTGTATATAGAGGGGGATTTATCAAAACTGGAGCAGATAAATTCTGGAGCAGCTGTGCATGGCAACCAATCGGCCTCTTTCATTTTCTAATCTTAACTGAACAAACTGAAGAGAAAAGCTGATTGGTTGTCTTGGGCAACTGCTCCAGATTTTGTCTGCTCCTAGTTTTGAAAAATTCCCCTCATTATATTGACTATTATTCTATTACTGTATAATTTAGATTCAAAGAGTCGTCTACCTGAAAGCCACAGAATTTGCCGCACGATAGCTTGTGAGTTGACTGTTGAATAATTCCGCTTCTTTTCTCAGTGAGGAAAAGGAAAGCTCACCTCCATAGGTGAAAATGCTTTGAGGGAAATTTAAGAAAACTGGAGCAGACAGGATCTGGAGCAGTTGCCTATGGTGACCAATCAGCTTTTCTCTTTTTCAAATCTTAACTGAACAAATTGGAGAGAAACAAAAAAAGAAAAAGGGCGCCTCAATAGTGTAAAAACGTAATTTAATAATGAAACCCGCAGCTTCAGGCTGTATTCACAAAAAGTCGGTAGAATAAAAGCATGTAGAAATTGATGGGAACTCGAAACCTCTAGCAGAGACAATCTGGAAAGATGTATTGTACCAGCGTCCTCTGCCCCTATGTGGCACGCCCCAGAAACGTGTAAACCTGTTGAACACATAGGGCCAGAGGACGCTGGTACAATACATCTTTCCAGATTGTCTCTGCTAGAGGTTTGGAGTTCCCATCGATTTCTACATGCTTTTATTCTACCGACTTTTTGTGAGTGCAGCCTAAAGCTGCGGGTTTCATTATTAAATTACGTTTTCACACTATGGAGACACCCTTTTTCATTTTTTGTTTCTCAGATTGGCGGTCTATTTGAGCTGTGGGAGCTGCCTCTTCGGTGTTTCTATTATTTGAGCTGGCCATTTCGCAGTTGGAGGCGCCGGTGTTGTTTTTGTTAAATTGGAGAGAAACTGACTGGCTTCTATGAGCAACTGCTCCAGGTTCTGTCTGCTGCAGTTTTGATGAATTGCCACTTTTGCATCTAACTGTTCGATGCATTTATAATTGGCTCATGGTGGAAACTTATCACAGCAATATACTCACCTGATCACTGCATTGGCTAAACTTCTTAGAGTTGAGCTATGAATGGTAAAACAATTGTAACTATGTCTTCTGTGGATCTATAGGTTCTACCAAGTCCTACAGAGATGGCAGGCAGCTGATGGTTCTCCAGCTGTTGGTAAATTGTAGCACAGCTTGTCTCACCAGCTTAAAATCCCACTAGGACTCGGTTACACAACAGCTGGATTGTTTTTTAGAAATGCATTGTGGAAACATGTAGTGCCAAAGCGAAACCAGAGCTGCTCATAGAGGTGTTTTGGTGACTTTTTTTTTCAGAAAGAGGAACTGCTCCATTCTAGTTTCAGCAGACATATAGGTTTATTCCTTCCCTCAAAGTAAAAAAATTCCTTGGTCGTTTGTGAATATAAAGGTACCCAGATACCGCCTTTCTTTTTTTTCTTTGCCAATTTAAAGCTGGCCATACACTGTGAATTTTGGCCAGTTAATCAAGAACTGGACAAAATTCAGACAATGGGTGGCCCTGTCCGTCATATTTGTGTCTGGCATCCTTCAATCGGAAAATAAAACTAGCTGGATGGTAAATTATTGTCCAAACGCAGCCTGAAAGGCACAATTGCCACCGTCAAAATACAATAGTCCCGTGGCGGATTTATCCATCCACACTGTTGAGTAGACATGTGCACTGCCAAAAAATGCGTTTCGTTTTAAATTCGGATTTGTGTTATTTCGTTTTTCGGGATTCGGGTGTGAAAGTCAATTCGGACGAAACTTGGTAGCGGTAGTTCGAATGTTCGTTTCGTTTTCTGTTCTTATTCGTTTCGTTCGTTTGCAGCAAAGTGACATTTGAGGGGGAAAAATATTTTTCTCCTTCCCTAATGTCACTTTGCTCCAACGAACGAAACGAATAAGAAACGAATAAGAACAGAAAACGAACGTTCGAACTACCACTACCGAATTTCGGAAATGGAAATTCGGATTCGTTTGCATTCGTTATGTCTGTAAGTCGGAATTCGGATACATCCGAATTTCCAAAAATTCGTCCGAATTTAGATTAGGAACGAAACGAATCGCACATGGCTACTGTTGAGCATGGATAGAGGAATCTGTTAATTTCTTTTTAGTCCACAAGTATAACCGTGTATGGCCAGCTTAGGTGGTAACAATGATCACTGCCTATACATGGAGTGATTATTTGCAAGATGAGGAACAGAGTTTATCTTATGTCTTCTGTCTACAGCACAGGAAGTGAAGGGAAATCTCTCCAATGGGGCACAAATGGCAAAAATAATTGCAGGGATTTTAATTGTCCCCTACTGTATCCAAAATGAAATATTTTTTTTAAATTTAGGTGTACTTTAGGTAAAACACTGCACATATTTACATCTGTACTATATATTTGAAGTAACCTTTTGTGAATGCAGGTCTACGGCATTGTACATTTTTGTGTTTGGTCCTTGAACGCCTTGGTAAATTCTAATATCCCTAGATTTCACAGCAGTGTATACTCTGACAGATCTTTTCCCTTTCCTCTATCCACACCTTGACATCCCTGGTATCCTATGAGGACTTGCCTTGATGAAAGGTGCTTTTGTTTAGGATGAGAGAACTTTTTATGTCAACAGGAAAATGTTGAGCCAACTGTTTAAAGTTGGTAGGTTTGGCACATTTGGTTGTGTTCCCCAAGACCTACGAGGCTGTCTGAAGTAAACCAAATTCTCTTCGAGGTCTCGGTGTTTGCTTAGCTTCTGAGTTTTTCGCCAAGTAAAAAGATGAATACACAAGGAAAATGACTGAAATTGTAATGTTTACCTCATTTGCTTGTGTTTTGGAGTTAAAGAACAAAATGCCGGAAAAATCAAATTATAGTGTGTGCTTGTTTGTGAGTAATGTAATGAAAGTGGGGAAATCAAATACATACACGCCCATGTACCATTTCCATAAATTTAAATTAGAAGGAAAGGCTAAACTATAATGCATTTTTTTAATGGTGTCTCGCCATTGCCCCACATACATTTCCGAATAAATTGCAATGTAAATACCTTTCTTAATCGTTTTTCCCTGGTGGGAGGAAACTCTCTTCCTCACCAACAATGCATAGAGCAGTGAAAGCTGGCGGGTGACATCGCATCTCTGTGTAATTTAGTCCAGTTGTTGGCCTTCCACATTACATACAGTACAAGCTTTGTGGTCAGGTGACCACATAGAACAAAAATAAAAAGGGTAGTTATATTAGAGTAATTAGAAAAGGTTTGGGGGAAAGTGTGTAGGCAACATTTAAAACTTGGTTTAAAGTTTAACCCTTCTTTCTACTTTAAAACCAAATATTTTTTTAGGTACATACTCGTGAAACTTGTGTACATTTTTAACGATACATAGGTTATTATTATATACACGGCAATAGAAAAACTGGAAAAAGCACATACAGTGAAGGGAATTTATCAAAAGTGGAGCTGACAAAATCTGGAGCAGCTGTGCATGGCAACCAATCAGCTTCTCTTTCATTTTCGAATCTTATCTGAACAAACTGAAGAGAGAAGCTGATTGGTTGGTTGCCATGCACAGCTGCTCCAGATTTTGTCTGCTCCAGTTTTGATAAATTCCCCCCATTTGAGTTTCTGAAATATTAACAAGTGACTCCTTTCACGTATGAAACATGTCTTTTGGCATCCACATCCAGTTATCATATTACAACAGGCATATTTTGGTCTCATTTTG